GAGGAGGACGAGCGCGGCCGGGTCTGAGCACCAGTGGGACTCGGCGGGTGGGGGGCGAGCGTTACCGAAGAGGGATTTCATGCGGAGCCGCTCCTCCTGGCTGAGCCGCACGCAGGTGTCGCAGAGGGTGTCGTTGAAGATCTGGGAGAAGGGGGTTAGGAGAGGCAGGCAGGAGGCTCCTGCCCGGCCGTGCCCGTGCTCACAGGGCAGGGAAGAGCCCTGGAAGAGCCCGGGAAGCTCCAGGGTTGGTTCGGTGTCTCACCTGCCGGAAGACGAGGTCCAGCAGCAGCGGGTCATTGAAGTTGTCCTTGGGGTAGAAAACCTGCCAGGAGGAGACGAGCGCGGCTACCTCACATAGAGCCCCATGCTCCTGGGAAAATCCCCCTTTATCCACACAGTGCCTGGATGACAACTTTATCCCAGCGCACCAGGGAGCACGGGGCGGATAACACTGCCCATGCCACATCCATGCACCCAAGCTCTGTCCCCTGGAGCTCATCCCGCTCCGTCCCTGCCCTGTGCCCAGCCCCGGCACCTCCTTGCGGATGTAGATTTTCCAGGGCACGTTGCGGTAGGTGTAGAAGTCCTCGCTGCAGCTCCGGTGGAGCTGGGTCTGGACCTGCTGCGCCTCGGACGGCAGCTCCCGGGACACGGCGACTGCAAGGGGGAAAAACCCTCGCACGACGCTGGGCCAGGAGCACCAACAGCCCCGCTCCAATGGGGAAACGGAGTCCCCAGCGCGCTGCAGCTCTGCCCGCGATACCTGGGTGCCTGGCAGCGGACAGAGGCTGCCCGTGGCTGGTACCCAGCGCTGGTCCCCGGCTTCACCGCGGCCACCGCCTCCCTGGGCGCCGAGAGCTGCCCCTTCAGGATCTGCATGGCCTCCTCGTGGGGGTCCTGCTTCTTCCCAAAGATCTTGCTGCCTTCCTTCCTGTGGAGACAGCACCCAGCGGCATCGCCGGTGCCCCGTGGGGCTGGGACATGGCACAGGGATGGGACACGGCGCGGGGCTGGGCCACAATGCGGGAATGGGCCACAGTGCGAGGCTGGGACATAGCACAAGGATGGGCCACAATGCAGGAATGGAACACGGTGCGGGGCTGGGACATGGCACAGGGATGGGACACGGCACAGGGCTGGGACGTGGCATGGGGTTTGGACACGGCATGAGGCTGGGACACGGTGCGGGGCTGGGACATGGCACCAGGATGGGACACGGCACAGGGCTGGGACGTGGCACAGGGCTGGGACA